TCAACCCAGGCTAGTAGAGGGCTCCAAAAAAGTATTGGTCTGCTCAGAAGCCCAAGGGGAAAGGTGGGGTTTCTTTGGCACCATTAGTTTTTTTACGAAGATCGTGGTGGAAGCATTGGCTCCACTTCGTCTGCAGGGGAAGTGGTTGATTAATCCTTATTCAGATGACCACCTGTTCTTTGCCCCATCAGCAAATCTACTGGGTTTAAATCGGGCTCAACAGCATCTTAAGAGCTTGGGTTACAATCTCACGTTTAGTTTACTAATTTGTATCGAGATTGTAGTCCATCACAGGAGCGAGCTTGGAGTGGTGACTACTTTACAACACACACAGTGACCATGGGGAACAAAAGTAGCCACCCTCCAGAAGGAAGGACAGTGTCAGCACCAATTCAGAGATGATTTGAGGCTCTACACCCGAATGATACACAAATAAGATATGGTGTTATCAGTTCCGATACTTTGAATGTATTTTTAAGATTTAACTCCTCAGTTTAGTGTCACTTTGAGGTTTCTGTAGCAAAGAAATGATCGTACCAAATATAAAGGGAAACTTAAAGGATTCGTATTGGGGCTTACTACACAGGAAGTGAAAGTGTTCAACCGTGCAAAGAAATTGGTTTCACTTTTGCTTGCCTAGGGATTCCTTTTGTATGAAAATTGAGTTCCACAGATCAGTGTTAGAAGATTTCTGCACTGTGTGTGTCTTTAGGGTGGTACTTGTGACTTTTTTTTTTTTTTAACGGTTGGTTGTTATAGAGAAGTAGTTTATGAAACGTGGCAGCCCGGTACATTTCCATCCTACTTGTGAAAACCAAAAGCTGATAAAAATTAAACGCTATGTCAACCCGGTCACTAAAATTGTGTATAAGCTTTATAACATGTTAATGTAATTTTACTTTTAAATATTTCTTAAATCTGTAGCATTCATTTAAAATTGTGTGTCTTTGGGATCTGTTCTCTTTGCAATTTTAAAAAGGGAACTATCGGCTTTTTGTCAATTTTATTTTAAAGGTGTTAGCTATTTTAATGAGAGGTGCACCGAAATGGAAATTTTAAAACCGATACCGAAAATGTCTTTTTTATTTTTTCAAATTTATTTTTATAAACTTTAATTTTTTATATTTGTATTCATTTTTTTATGAAATATTTTTGTTTTTTACTTTACTTTTAGGGGCTCCGGGCAAATATTAGGGGTCTAAACAGACCCCTGATATTTCCCTTTTTAAAATAGAAAAAGAGATTGAGAACACAAGTCCTCAATCTCTTTTTCTGTGTTCCCTGTTATCAATGAACAGGAATCCTCTGAGTGTTCCAGTTCATTGATAACATGAGAACATTGTTTGATACTTTGAATGTATTTTTAAGATTTAACTCCTCAGTTTAGTGTCACTTTGAGGTTTCTGTAGCAAAGAAATGATCGTACCAAATATAAAGGGAAACTTAAAGGATTCGTATTGGGGCTTACTACACAGGAAGTGAAAGTGTTCAACCGTGCAAAGAAATTGGTTTCACTTTTGCTTGCCTAGGGATTCCTTTTGTATGAAAATTGAGTTCCACAGATCAGTGTTAGAAGATTTCTGCACTGTGTGTGTCTTTAGGGTGGTACTTGTGACTTTTTTTTTTTTTTAACGGTTGGTTGTTATAGAGAAGTAGTTTATGAAACGTGGCAGCCCGGTACATTTCCATCCTACTTGTGAAAACCAAAAGCTGATAAAAATTAAACGCTATGTCAACCCGGTCACTAAAATTGTGTATAAGCTTTATAACATGTTAATGTAATTTTACTTTTAAATATTTCTTAAATCTGTAGCATTCATTTAAAATTGTGTGTCTTTGGGATCTGTTCTCTTTGCAATTTTAAAAAGGGAACTATCGGCTTTTTGTCAATTTTATTTTAAAGGTGTTAGCTATTTTAATGAGAGGTGCACCGAAATGGAAATTTTAAAACCGATACCGAAAATGTCTTTTTTATTTTTTCAAATTTATTTTTATAAACTTTAATTTTTTATATTTGTATTCATTTTTTTATGAAATATTTTTGTTTTTTACTTTACTTTTAGGGGCTCCGGGCAAATATTAGGGGTCTAAACAGACCCCTGATATTTCCCTTTTTAAAATAGAAAAAGAGATTGAGAACACAAGTCCTCAATCTCTTTTTCTGTGTTCCCTGTTATCAATGAACAGGAATCCTCTGAGTGTTCCAGTTCATTGATAACATGAGAACATTGTTTACTATAACTACAATTATGAATGAATGGGGGTGATGTTGATTACTCCCATTCATTCATAATTGAGGATATAGTCAACATACCATGTCCTCAATTATCTACAAACACACGCTGAGTGTGTGTACCTTGCTTTTCTCTCTGACACGCTGTCACAGGAGGCTGATCAAGCGGTGTAGAGAGGAGAGCCCAGCCTCCTGTGACAGCGCCTTCTCCGCCCCCACACCGATCTGCCGGACTGTGATAGGCGGCAGATCGGTGTGGGAGGAGACGCTTGGCCGGCTGTCACTTTCTCTTCTCCCCGCTGGGACATAGAGCAGCAGGGAGGAAAGAAATCGGGGATGCGCCGATGTATTGGCAGGAAAATGGCACTTTCGGCATTATGCCAAAACTGCCATTTTCGGCCGATATGTTTCGGTTGACGATATATCGGTGCATCCCTTTTTAATGGTCTTTGTAATTGTTTTGTGAATCAAAGCCTTGTTAGAGCCTGCACAGCCAAATCAACCTCCCTGGTGGCATGGTTTGTCCGATTTTGAAGGTTCAGAAGTGTGTTCATATGGACATGAGCTATTGGGCTTTGTAAACAATATCCTCACAGCAGGTGGTAAGTAGACAGTAGAAAATATGTGAAAAGCATCATAAAGTTATACCTGCTGGTTTCAGAAGACTATCATTTTAACATGCAATATTGGTATTTACTATTTGCTGAAGCCTATCCCACCTCAACCTAACCGCTCAACCATCACGTTCTCAAACAATTCATCCCCACCCAGCTACCTCCTCATGCAACACTTGCTCCTCCCTTTTTAGATTGTAGGGCCTCGGGTGGGGCCCTCCTTTCCATCTTGTCTTGAACTGTAATGTCTTCCTTATATTGTAAAGCGCTGCGTAAACTGTTGATGCTCTATAAATCCGGAATAATAATAACTTAAAGTATGTGTTGGTGCACTGCCATTCATTCTGGAATTGCACCGCAGCACGTTTGGCAATGCTCGTTGCTTTGTCAAAATGCTACATGCCTTTTTTTCCTTTTATTTTTTTATTTTTTGAGCTGCCTAAACCCAATGCATGCTAATGCATATGTGAAATAGCAGCACCTCAAATCCAAAGTCTAAACCAGGGGTAGGCAAACTTAGACCCTCCAGCTGCTATGGAATTACAAATCTCAAAATAGGCATTGCAAGATTGACAGCCACGTGCATGACTGCCAGAGGCAGATGCCTGATGGGGTATGTAGTTTCACCACAGCTGGTGTTGCCTACCCCTTGTCTAAACGGTTGACCGCGAAGAGCATGGCCCCTTGGCTCAGGAATCTACACTTTCATGCAGATGATGTGAACACATTAGCATTTACACATTTATAGCCTTCAAGGAAAAGAAAAATGGCTTTATGCTTGGGTTGATTAAGCAGCCTTTTAAACATTGGTACATATGTATGTTGCTAGAAGCATTTGGCAGTCATCCTGCGGTCTCGTTTATATGCACATTGTGTTCCCAAGTGCATCACTAGTGGTACGCGGCCTCGGTGTAGGCAGTAGTCTGCAAGTGCCAGGTTCTACGTGCAGTAACAGCTAATACCGTGTTTCCCCAAAAATAAGACACTGTCTTATATTTATTTTTTTTGGTTTAAAAAAACACACTAGGTCTTATTTTCGGGGTAGGTCTTACCATACCATAATACCGGTAGAAGACAGGAGTGAGTGGCAAATTTAGGAATAGGGTGATCAGGGCAATCATGGGTGCCGTACCTTTCCAAGAGCAATTTGGTAACCAATCGGTGGCCAGAATGAGTAAAGTGCGCTTTCACTATGGATTCCTCACAGGCATTTGGTATCACTCCGCCTGTGACAGGAGCTGGTGCTATATAGGAAGCATCAGCTTCTGCGGCTCCGCTCCCTTCACTGCCACCTCGCTTCCTCTAGCACTGGCTTAGTTGGCACCGCTGATTCTCTCCCGCGGCTCCTCAAGTTCCCCCTTATGCCACCACCAGCCCTGGTAATGGTCACAACTAGGTCTTATTTTCGGGGTAGGTCTTATATTCTATCAATTCACAAAAATAGTACTAGGTCTTATTTTCGGGGAAACAGGGTAGATGTACGTGGTCCCCCTAAGTCAGAGATACTAGACATTTTATTTACCCCGTGTAATCTGAATTGCATGTTCTGTAGGCTCCACTGGCTATTATGGGGAGGAATGGATTTGGGCTGTGTAGGTGAGGTGATGCAGGTGACACTGCAAATGTCCGGATGGTGATGCATAACTGGCAAGCTTTGGGGAACACCTTTCGTTACTGGTTACATACGTGAAGGATGCCTATAACAGAGATAAGAATTGGAATTCCAATTACCTGTGTCTGGTGGCATCTGCGACACTGACACTGCTGGCCGATGGTTTTCTGGGGCAATTCCCACTGTTGGCCTTAGATAGGTGACCACTAATGTCTTTGTAAGGCTAAACAAGAAAACTTTTGGAGCGTTTGAGACAACAGTTGGATGGTCTCTGGCACTGTAATTGTGCCCTTGTGTCTGAACACCCGCTCAGGTCTACGGGTATCTTACCAAGTTGCTGAGAGGTCAGATCTGTCTGGATTTCAGTGCAGTAATTAAGTTTGAAAAGTGCAAAAGGTGATTCTTGTTTGTGTGGGAAATGTTTTGAATGAAAGTTGTTTAAATGTTTGGCATTTCATTTTCAATACTTGTATGCAAGAAGTTGTGTGACACCATTTCACTTTTCTCATGAAAATAACTTGTTTCTCTTTTCCTATTTAAGCAAATGGTTATGAGCCTTCGTGTATCTGAGCTGCAAGTACTTCTAGGATACGCTGGACGCAACAAACACGGTCGCAAACACGAACTCTTGACCAAAGCTCTGCACTTGTTAAAGGCCGGCTGCAGTCCCGCTGTACAAATGAAAATCAAGGAGTTGTATCGGCGGAGGTTTCCCTTAAAAATCCTTACACCTGCAGACTTTTCACTACCTAGTGTGCACTCCAGCACCATGCCAACCAACTTGTCACCATCCTCCATTCCTCAGCTTTCATATGACAGCCACCCTGCCTCTTCCCCAATGCTACCAGTCTCCCTTCTTGGGCCCAAACATGAACTGGATCTTCCTCACCTCACATCAAACCTTCACCCTGTCCACCCGGACATCAAACTGCAGAAACTGCCCTTCTATGACCTGCTGGATGAACTTATAAAGCCTACGAGTTTAGGTAAGGCTGTTTGTTCACAGAAGCTGTTGTGCTGCACATTGGCTACTGTATTGGTATTGTCCCTGCCAATTGCTTATTTTTACCATTTGTTCATTGGATGTACTTTGGGAATGAAGGGGAATAGGTGAGTTTTATGTACTTGTATGTGTTCAGATGGTTCCTAAGCTGGTTAAATAATTGAATCTGTCCCTCACTTGGGCAAAGGTAGAAACTGATTTCCTGCACTGTGCTGTAATAGTTGTGTAATGATTATCTGTTGGACATATTTGGCTCCAAAGATTGGAATGGAAAGTAGAACGGAAGCTAAAACTTTCTTTTGGTTAGAGTATTGGATGGTTATAACACCTGTCAGCATTTTTTGCCATCTGTGTCTCACTGCAGTAATTTCCCCGCACTTCCTGTTCAATATCCACTACTGGAAGTGAGGAAATCTCTCCAAAGTGAGCGAGAATCACTGGTGGTCACCAGGGTCATTGGAACTAGTGTCCCCATCTATTCCTATTCTGGTGATGACCGTCACGAGGACAAATGGGGAGGGTCTCTTCTCTATCCAAAACTATACCTCTCCACTCTATCCAAAACCTAAAGAAAGGGTTTTGGCTTCAGTTGCACTTTTGTGCAATTTTGGAGTGTTTTAGTCTGATACCGGGCTAAAAAAGGGAAACTTGACAACCGCTGTGTTTTGTGATGCTTTACAATTCTTATATGTTGAGGCTTCAAATGTTTGCTGTTCTTCACCAAAAAGATACGGCTCCCCCTAGAGCCATAAATTCCTTCACATAGCTGCACATAGAGCGTTGGTTGGCTAACCCTACCATGCTTTTAGGGGAAAAGGCTGATTTATTGATGACCTAGCCAGTATGACCTAGCCAGTACGGCTTTCACTATCGCCAGCAGAAGGTGCACTGAGAGGATCCCTGTCATTATACTGATCGCACAACAGAACATCTCCGCTTGGATTTGACCCTGGCTTTTCCAGAACTGAAATATCAATGGAGGAGCCTAATAGAATGAGGCTTGATTCACACCTCTTGCTTCTTTGCCTGTTAGATTTCCATTGACATGGATGAAAACCCATCAAAATGTGTCATGACTCACCTCAGTGTGCAATGTGAGATGCGTTAATGTGCATGGCAACACTTGTTGACATGAGTTTTGATGCGGTTCCACTGATTTGAGCGTCTTGGTCCTTTTGTCAGATCTTGTACATCCCTTTCTTTTATTATTCTATTAATACATCTGGGGCTTGCCAGTAATGTATTCAAGTAGTCCTGCTATTGTCTGCTATAAGAACTGTTATGTGTTCATGGTGTTGGGATTTTAAGACCGTGCTGAACTATACGTTGTCAATTGTGAACAATCTTAAAAAGGTATTTAGATTTCTGGTATCAACAATACTTTAGTGGAGTTGAAGGCGTTTTAAGTTGTGTGGTTGTTTTTTCTTTTATTATTCATAGATATATTTTTTATGGATTAGGATTTCTGATATGCGTTTGTGTATGGTTTGTAAAAGTTCCATTGAATCGGTGGTGTGGGTTTTGTTTTTTTAATAAATTGTATTTGATTGCAAATGGATTTTTAAAGCTATATGCTGGGAGGGGGTCAAGAGGCTGGCAATAAAGTGGACCATCTGTTTGCCATGGAAGGTCCACTTTAATATCCCTACTTCATCTATAATTTCTTGTAGCATCATTGTATTATAGAGTTGTTCCGCGTTGCGCCCAAGTGATGGGCAGCACAGAGGCTTAGTGGTTAGCACCTCTGCATTGCAGTACTGCTGGGGTCCCCGGTTCACATCCTGGTCAGGGCACTGTGTATGGAGTTTGCATGCTCTCCCTTTGCCTGGGTGGGTTTCCTCCAGGTATTGAAAGCCAGTGACCTCTGCTGTAATGTAATATGTTGCAGCTTGCCAGTCCTGAGTTGTGGTTGCTGCCTTAGTTTTCACTGATTTTGTACTACAAGCGCCATTTCTTTTGCCTAGAGAGCAGGGATTGTGTAGTTCACAGAAGTTAGCTGGGAAAGCTGATAACTTTGTTTTTTGAGATTTTTATTTCGGTGCAGAGGAAGTTGCAAGGACACTGGATATCTATCCGGATCAACAGGTATTTTCTTCTGTACTTGCAGAAAATGTTCTTAGCCTGAAAACAGAAAACGAATGCAGCCACCACTTCTAAGGACTGGTAAGCTGCAATATATTACAATTTTTTTTTTTTCTGTTGACATAATTACTTGAACCCTTTCTCTGCTGAGCAGTTTTTGAATCCCTCCCCATGTTTAATGCATAAACGCCCCCCCTCCCCCCCCAAAGTATACGTTTTCTGAAACCCAGGACCCCATAAAACAAAATGATGCTTTAAAACCCTTTTACAGGTAATCAGTTTACATAGTCAATAATGAACTTATAAGTATTGTTCTCTTGTGTGCGTGGTGATGCCTCCAACGCATGCATGTATATATACGTTACAGGTGGCAGGGGTTCTGAAACGTGTTTTTTGTTTTTGTATTTTTTTTTTTAATTTCACATAATTTTGCTGACAAGCCCTCCTATGTGACATTTTAGATCTCTCTTAGGACACATTAGGGGGTCACCTCTGCATTCCAGCTTGATTAGCATCTTCCCTGACCACATCAGATGGGTAATGACCGCACGTCAATCGGAAGTGGTTTCTGGTTCCATACACTGCAGGGACGATAGGCGAACGGTTGTTCGCTCGTTACTGCAGCCATGGAGGTGGTCAAGCAGCTTTACAGTCGACCAATTTGCTTCCATTAAAAAGCCAACAACCTGTTGCACAAATGTAAACAAACTCCGTTTACAGGGATGTGCTATAAACGACATAAGCCTTAACCCAGCAAATACAACACTCTTGTATTGTTTCTTTTTAGTAACTGCAAAAAATACCTGTTGATCCCGCCAGAAATCCAGTGAGCTAATCGCTTTCTATGTTTTGCTGTACTTGCTGTTTAGCATTGTTTCTGGTTCTACAGAACCCCTCACCCTATGTTATGGAGGATTTCTGTAGTCCTGTTCTAGGGTGTCCATGCTGCCTCTCCATGGATACAATAAAGTGAGTGTTGTCACCCTAGGGAAGGAAGTGTTCTTGGTAGGATTGCCAGGTGAACATGTGGTGGCTGCAATATATTGAAGTTTTTGGTTTAGTAATAACTTGTGACTTTTGTATTTGTCACCCTTTAAGCTTCAGTTTGGGAAATGTTTGAACACGGGCCATAATAGGTGTGCTTGGCTGTAAGAAAACAGACGGCACCTTCTCTTTGTGTAATGGCATTTATTAGAAGTCGTATATAAAATTAAATCCATTCTACTCGCATGTACAGTCCAAGTAGTCTGCTTATAATTCCTCAACACGGTGTGCACACAGGAGACGTAGGAAGATAACATGTTTCAGGAGTTAAACCCTCTTCAGAGCTTACTAGTAGAAAGGCTAGAATATATACGGACCATTTGGACTGAACGTGTGAGCAGAATGGCATTTTCATTTTTAAGACTTTTACTAAACGAAGAAGGCGCTGTCATGTTTTTTTAATACCGGTATCTGAGGATTTCCCTCTCTGACTTTGGACAGCAGCCTATCCCGGTGATGTGATTTCTGATTCCTTGTAAGACGTTTGGTGGGTGACACGAAGTGATGAGGTTATGAACACTTGTTGCAATATCTAGTTTTTATACAATTGGGTGCGCTTGGCTGTTAGCGCCCTTGCAGTTGGCCTCAAGTCGTGTTTAAAACAAGTCGCTACCTTTTTTTTGAACTATAGGGGTATCGTTTTTATCCCATAGTTCTCTTTAGGGTCACGGGAAGACATATACTAACCTCCTCCCGTGACCCAAAGCTCAGTATATAGCAGTCGAGACGGATCAGGAAGTGAGCGAGGGTATGTTTTTGCTCCCTTCTCGAGCGCTAGAGCTATTCTGTGACAGCTTCTTTGTCGCAGGTCGGCTCTAACTAATGAGGATGAGTGGAAATCACTCGCCTCATACTTCTCCTTTAAATACTTTACAATTAGCTGTGAAGTGTATGTGAACCCGAACAGTGAATTTCTTCATTCATCCCTTTTTGATTTGTTTAAATATCCCATTATACGTGATAAGTGCAAAAAATCCTGTTCTTGTTAGAAAATTGGAGGCTCCCTGCCTCCTGTGGCCCGACCCTCCCTAGTTCTTATCTGGGACTACAGAATGGTCAAGTAGTTTTCCAGAGTCACTGAGAGCGCTGACACCCCTTTGTCCACGAATACTCTGTGTTGTCAGCCCACAACTAGACTAAAGGTGCCCATACACTGGGGTGGGGTGTGTCTTTTTGTCTTGGGTTTTTTTTTGTTTGGTTTTGTTTTATAAATGTTACCTTTTTATGTGTACACTTTAAAGTGCAAAATGGAGTGGGATTAAAAAACTTGTCAGGTTTTTATTACTGTCGGAGTCCCTATTAGCGAGATTGACCCTCTAAAATTGTCTTGACAGTTATCCCTGAAAGAAAATTTTGTTGTCACCAGAACAGGACCCTGCTGACCTCCCAGGGATTTCCTCTCACTTCCTGTTAGAGCAATGGCATAGGAAGTGAAGGGGAAATCTCTCCTTTATGGAACAAAAAGCAAGATACTTGCTGTATTCCTTACTGGGATTCTCATATCGTATAGCTATGCAAACAGGTGCTCGAAATGACCACGGATGTGGAAGTCTTCTCTGAGCCTGATGAAGGGGACCCTGCGTGGCCCCGAAATTGCTTCCGACCAGCAGACGACAATAAATGAACATTTGCTGCAGTAAATAATCTGGTGTGCTGGTGACATTCCACAAATAGCTCTCCTTATGGGACACGGGTGGTAAAAAAAACAAAAACAGAGGTGTTGTAACCCTCCCTTTTATTTTTCCATGACTAAAAAAAAAAAAAAAAAGTTTTGGTTTCAGTTCTACTTTAGGGGCCTGTGAAAGCTTTCTGTTGGCAGCTGACATATTTCTGTCCCTAGAGGTTTTCCTTTTAGCG